GGTGGGTGGGTGGGGGGTGCCACCTAGTGCCCTCCCCGCTCACAAACTCAGTCTCCCACCCGTCACGCTCTTCAGATCCCTGCCGCCAAAATGGCCCCCCGAGGTAACGTGTGCTGGGCAGGGCTGCGAGGTCGGCCCTCCCCTGCGGTTTGGCCAGTGGGGGGCATGCCTCTAGGAAGGGAGCCCTGTGCCATCCGCGGCCTGGTCCTTTCACCTGGGCATCTCAAAGGACATGGCACACATGAGCCACCAACACTGCTGCGTGCCAGTGCAGGCCGGGCAGTTATTAACTCCTGGAGTGACGCTGAGCTGAAGGGGGTGCTGGGGTGAGGGCTACGGGGCTGGCGGGCGGCCGAGAGCTTGGCTTAGTCTGTGAACGAGACTGGACTGGAAACCCTAGAGGCCTTCCAGGAGGTCCAGGGGCATGAGATGCTGCGGGTCCCTTCCTCTAGACACCGGGCACGTATGCGCAGCTTTGCAGAACCACAAGCCTGGCCATTCAACGGTGCCCTATTGGGTACAACCCGAAGCTCGCACATGGCCACAGGCCTGCACAGTCTGGCTGCCCCCCACATGCCCAGCCGTCCCTTTCCCTCCTGGTTTGCTCCAGCCCCTCTAGGGGCTTGTCCTTTCCCGGATGCCACCAGGCACGCCCTGTAGCCCCTGAGCTCAGAGAGTCTGGAATGTTCCCTCTCCCTGTCTCCACTCAGCTATTGACCGCATGCCACTCTTCAGCCCTGCAGCTAAGCATCGTTTCTTCTGCGGGGCCTCGCCTGTCCCCTCCGTCAGCAACGAGGTTCCCATTACACCCTGGCGGCACTTTTCACAATTTGCTGTCATTTGCTCCTAGTCATCTGATGGGTATGTCCCTCCCCTGCGGGACGGGAAGCTCCTCGAGGACCCTGCATTCACTCAGGCCCCCACATCCAGCAGAAGGCTGGGCACCTAGCAGGGGCCCAAGACCCTCGGGAAGGATGCTGCTGGGCGCTGGAGCTGCACAGGCGTGTGCTGACCCCAGCTGCTCTCCACACCTCCGACCTCATTGTCACGGCCGAGGGGCAGGACCTCTGCCAGCAGAGGCCCAGGTCCCCACTGCAGGCCGCCCCCTGCCCCGCCTCCTCCCCACTCGCACTTGCAGGAAGGCCCCAAGCCTGGGCTGGACGCTGGGCATCGGCAGATGTCCTTTTGTTGGGTTTTTATTAAAAACAACTTTTTAATTGCCAGAGGATGTGTATTTGCCAGAGAGACAGAGAGACAGAGGGAGAGAGCACCCCCCAATGGGGCATGGTCACGTCACAACCCCTTCTCCAGTTCTCCAACCTGTCAGGATCTAGGGCACACACGTGTGCGCACGCACGCATGCATGTACACACACACACACACACACACACAGACTCGCATTTTTCAAGTCATCGGGGCTGGGATTTGAACTGCGGTCGGCTATGAGGGATCCAGCTCCCCTGACCACTAGGCTACAGGATGGGCTTCCTCTCGGTTTTTGAAGGCAGATAGGTGAGGAAGCAAAACGCCGAGTCCAGGATGACTGGTTTTTAATTTGACGGGAAGGGGTTCCATACCCAGAGGGCTCCATGCCCGGCCGTTGGTGGCGAGCAGCGTGGACACAAGCGGGGACGGTGAGGCCTGCGGCCGGCGGGCGGTCATCTGTGCTTGGGTCTGAACGTGGACTTGCGCCTGCTGCCTCTGTGATCCCGGGGGGCTGGCGAGTCCTGGTAGTTCCGAGTCATGAACTGGGTGCTTGCTTCGGGCTCGCTCAGGTGGAAGCGGCTCAAAAAGCTGTCCATTTTCCAGGAGCCTGGAGGGACACAGACCGCAGGGCGGTGAGAGAGCCGTGGGCTCGAGAGCTGGCAGGAGCCTGGAGACAACCTTGGCCATGGTGCTGGTGGGGGCTGGGGCCTGGGGGGCATCTGTTTTCCAGCCGCAGAGGCTGTCTCCTCCCTAGAGGATGCTGGGGACCAGCCAAGGCCACCCGGTGTGCCCTTCCCTTGTGCCTTCTCACGCACTGAAGTGAAGGCCCAGTCAGGGGGCTGCTGTGACCTCGGCCTGTCCCTTTGCTGTCCCCTTCCTGCAGCCCCCAGTCCCAGCTGGGGGTTGAGTTTGGTGGAAGGTCTGTGACGTTTTCAGTCTTCTCCCCCAGCCCCAGTCTCAGCCACTGTGACAGGTAGGGGGGAGGCTGCGGGGACCTGGAGGGGACGAACCTGGGAGGACGTTGGGGCCGGGTCTGGAGAAGTCAGGCAGCGCTAGGTGGCAGTGGGCCCTGCTCGGGGTGTGAGGGAGGTGCATGCTCTTGGCAAGTCTGAACAGGCCTTGCGGCAGGGCAAGGAGGGCACCACCCCGGGCATGGGGGAGGGCTGAGGGACGTGATCAGAGGCAGATTCCCACGCTCGTTCCCCTGGGCTGCTGGCCGCCAGGAAGGTGCAGGACCCCCATCTCGGATGAACACGCACGCGGTTGGTGCTGCAGGGAGCACGAGGCACGGTGCACTTCCGTGTTCCTGGGGTTCGGCGCGGCGACCTCCTGCCCTTGTCGTGCCGTTCTCGATGTCTAAATCTAGCAACCTGTCCTGGGTGGAGGGCTGGGCAGGCCTTGCCCACCCTGGAACTGGGCAGTGGCCCTGTCTGCGGTGCCAAGACAAGTGAGGGTAAGGGGCTGGCGGCCACCCACCGGCCCGGGACTCTTCCCATAACCAGGAAGAAAGCAAGCCTGTCTCCAGCTAATCCTCTCACAGGGCGAGTGGTATCCCAAATATGGGACAGTCATTTTTTTTTAAGAGAGATTTTTGCTATAGGGTGCACGCACTTATCTGAGAGACAGAGACAGAAAGTGAGAAATCACCCCCCTCCCAAGGGGGATGGCCATGCCATAGTCCCCTGTCCATTCTCCTCTTGGAATTTTGGGCACTCACGCACACACACGCCTGGTGTGAGTTTTAAGACACTGGGTCCGGGACTTGAACTGCAGTCAACTACGTGGGAGTCCAGCCACGTAACCATTATGCTATCTGCTGGTCCCAAGGGGAGAGCAATTTTTAATCCAAAAAACAAAACAATAGCAACGATAATGCACCTCATAATAACGGCGGCCTTATCAGCACTGCGGGCCTCCTGTGTGCCAGGCGCTGTTCTAGGGGCGCTGCACTCCCAACTCACTTAACCCTCCCAGTCCCTGCAGCAAGGGAGGACGGCGATCGTCCCAGTTTACAGGTGGGAAGACCGCGGAGGCTCTGGATGGTGAGGGAGCATCCTGGGGCAGGGGCTGGGGACGGCCTCTCGGTCCCCACAGCGACCGCACACTGTAAGGCCACGAGGCTCGAGACCTGCTCCCAGGGGCTGGGTAGAGAGAAGGGCGGCGGGAGTGGCCCTGCCCCTCCTGCCACGCTGCGCCCGAGCAGGGTGGCACAC